AGGTCTTTGGTATCTGATCACGGTTGTTGAGGCCTACATGAAGAATAATGGTAGTAGGTTTGGGATCATGGTCGTATGATTCCAGGATTGACTGTATGTGATGGATTTGGGCACCGGGGTAAGAATGTATTTCGGTGTCTGAACTGGTTTTGGTAATTCGATTCAGGTTAGATGATCCAATTATTAAGGTTGATTTCTTTAGAGCAGGTAGTTTCCATAATGATTTGTCCTTGGTTTGGTGATAATACGGTTTGGTAGCGGATATAATGGTCGTCGACGGTGTGATTGGTACTGGTTTGGTAGTTGTTAGAATTGTAGCATTGGGAACGGACTGGGATCTGGTTCGAGGAGGGGAAGGTCTGGATACATGTCTCGACTTGGATGGAGACTGAGGGGTGGTTTGCTGGTCCAAAAACGCACAGAAGGAAGAAATGTTGGCGGATCCTGGATCACGTGGTGAAGATTCAGATGGTGTGGAAGGGGAAGACGAGTCTGAAAGTGAAAAGAGAAGGGGTGTGCCCTCTCTACGAGAGCGTTTACCTATGTCTGCTGGACTAGGGGTAGGTGAACTTCGGGCTCGTTTAGGGGTTTGGTTCGGCAGCGTGGTAGCTCTAGATGGTGCAGGTGTAGTGTCCATTTCAGTTGGTAGAGATATGGTTACTCTGGTTTTTGTTTCGTTGATTGTTTGGTAGAATTTGGAAATTACAGCTTGAGTGAGACGTTTCCCATGGGAGCGACGGGCCCAGGACAGGGCATGAGAAACGATGCGGTCGACGGCAGGTGATGATAAAGACTTGGTACGAATGGTGGTCAGCTTCTCTTGAAGTGTGGTTTGGTAATGGTCGATCAGGACCTGCGTAACCTTACAGAGCCATGTCCGATTGAGGGATCTAATATTCGCGTCGACAGCTGATATTTTCATTGCTGGACGGATAAAACTATCCAACTCAGAGACTTTGCGTTTGAAGGTAAACGCTGGTTGGCCTTGCTGTTGAAGGGTAAGGATTGCCAAATGATGGAGGCACTGCAAAACTTGGAAGAACACCTTCACAAAGGGTTCTTCCTCCTTATGAGTGGGGACTGGTTGGCGTCGGTGGGCTGGTAGTCGTTTCTGTTGTTGGTCAGGTCGATGGTTACCTTTTGATTGGTAGGCTGTGTTGTAGCTAGGTCGGCGATGGGGTGGGATATAGCTGGATGGGTTGGTTGGTGGTCGGCGATTGGTAGGTGGTAGAGGTCGATGGAAGACAGGGCCGTTGTAGGGTACGTGATATTGGTTTGGTTGGTTGTTGTAGTTGGGGAGCAAAATGAAAATAACTTGGGGTTAGAAGGGAATGTACAGCGGATGTAACAGGAGGAAGCTGTATATGCTAGCGTGAAAATGTTGGGATCAAATTATGCAAATAAGTCAAACTGGGTTTGGGGATATATAAAGCAAGATGAAAAATGCAAAAAATATATATTTAGGTGATAAATAACGCTAACAATGATGTGAAAAATTATAACAAGTAAAACAAAAACTTACGCAATTGACACGAACCGGTTTTCGAAATATTATCCTTTTTCAAGTGTCGAGGAATGGTTATGTCTGCTTCCAATGTAGCGCTCAAATGTAAAACAAGACATCTTCTGGCTAAAGATTTACAAATAAAAGGATACTCCACCACTGACACAATTTTCAACGAATATTAATCATTGGCAAAGGTTGTTTGTATACACAGGAAGATGTTTGTTTCCTGTTTTAGCGTTGATTACCCAGACTCTTTCTTTCTCAAACTGAACGGATTCATCGCTTGCTAACTTTTTTTTTAAATTCTGATTATAGTTTTTTTGTCGCTTTTTTCAGACTTGATAAAGTGTGGGATGCATACTTATTTAACCAATGGTCACTATTACACACAAATATTGGCCACAGGACGAGTGTATTCTAAGACGTAGTATCCCTTTAAAAGCCATTGTGTTGATAACTGATTTTTTTTCTGTACTACATGAGAAAATATGCATGAAAGAGCTTATTTGGGTGTCACTTTTCAGATGTGATGGTTATGTCTAAACAATGGCAAAAAAACTCAAACATATTTTTTTTGTCATGCTCTCTTTCTGTGGGTGGTGGACAGGTGTACTTCTGGACATCCCTTCCCATTTTACCATTTTTTTGTTTACAACTGGTTGCGTTTGTGTATATTGAAAATTATTGCTGCTGAGAACACAAATACTTGTGCAATGACATGTGCTTGTTCATTTTTACACATAACCTTCTACTTATACCTATTTTATTTTTATGGTTACATTCACACTACCTTTGCAACATCAACGCAAAGGCCCCAAAGATATTTTTAGCAGCTTTTACGATATTGAGATCATAGAGCGCTTAGTTGAAGTGGAATTACAAAAAACACAGATGTCTGAATGAAAATTGGAATGGTACAAAATAGTGTCCCTAATACACATTCAAAGATTAGAATACCAGTTTACAATCTCTTCAATGTTTTACTTACCATTTACTGAATTAAAAACGACTTGATTGGTAATTATAGCATTAGCCTGACAAATCTGGCCATACCAAGGTTCTCAGACGTGATATATAGGATATGATATTACCACAGTTCAAATGACAAAATCTAAATTTATTAGAGCTTTTGGCATCTATACAAAACTGAACCATAAAGTCATTACCAGCTATTCTACAAACTTGTTTGTTTTGGTACCCTGTATAGCACAGGGACATAATAGAATATCTGGTAATGTTTTTATGGACTCATAAATAGTTCAACTTTGTATGGATATCAAAGGTTTATAATTTTGTTAAATTGTGAAGAGTTTTTTTTTGAAAAGCAGGTTCAACTCCATTAAAAGGTGACATTAGATGTCTTTCTCTACCAGTGATGGTATCACACCAATATATCATAGAAATTGGTAGGACCTGATTTGTCAGGCTAGATGATAATAAACTATTTATTTACACGATGTTCTGATGTACAATTTGTCAGAATCTATAGACAAGTACATGTGTTTGAAATGGACAGATTATGTATAAGCTACCAAATGTGGCACAGTGTCTGTATTAATGCATTTGTCTTTAGATGAATTATCCATCAATCCGTCCAGGGAGGAAGCTAGAAACGGACTACCTTTACAAACAAATGTTCCATATTGGTCAACTGTATCCTGTGTTTGTTTAAAAAACTCGTCAATAGCAATTTTTTCAAACTTCTTTCCATGGATAAGAGGAGCAGCTTGTATGTCTTGGGAAGGTTCAGTCATGGACTTAACAAGTTTTTCAAGGTCTGTTCTATCAGTTGCCTTACATATTTTTCCAAATTGGAAAGAGTCAGGCCTGAATACTTCCGTCTTAGTCGTCTGAAACGTATGGCTTACCGACAACAACAGACAGAAAATCTGGATGATTTCATAAATCGCAGCAAACTTCGGGCATTGAAGTTTGACTTTGCAGAGGGAGAATTGTCTGAATGAATCAGCGAGCTTATATAGCCAGCACTCTCGGACTTCAAAGCTTTGCTGGAGAAGCCAAAAGGTTTTACACTTGAAGAGGCTACCAAGTTAGGACGAACCTATGAGACTCTCATGCTAGAGAGCTACGGACAATGAGTGGAGCAACGGTTGAAATAAATGGTATTGACACAGAATCCAAAAGGTCTGACAAGAAATGTCGTTACTGTGGAAGATCTCATTCTAAGAAATCTAGACAAGAATGCCCAGCTGATAGTACAACATGTAGCGCCTGTGGTAAGAAGAACCACTGGTCAGCAGTATGCCGCGTTTCGGACAGGTCTGAACCTCCTCAAAGACAAAGAAGATCAAAATCGAAATTCTTCAGGTCGCAAAAGATCTCAACATCAACGCAAGAGAAATGTTTTCAACATATCAGCTAATAGACATACAGTCGAACAAGATATGGAGCTTTTTACCTTCCATGCAATCACAATCTCATCCATGTGCCTACAGGGGGATATGGAGACAGAAGCCTTAACAACTCTAGACATCCAACTAGAAGATCGACGTGGAAATCACAAACTGAAGTCGAAGGTAGATACAGGAGCAGCTGCGAACACATTACCGCTCCGAAAGTTCTGCGACATGTATCCAAGACGGATAAAAACAGATGACTCAATTACACACAACTCACCATTCATCAAACTTAGGGTCTACAACGGTACTGAAATCCCATGTCATGGAGGAATCTGGATCAACTGCAAAACTGGAAATTGTGACTGACAGAAAACACAGTTCTACAAAGTTGAAGTGGACGGACCAGAAGTAATTGGTTTACCATCTTGTAGAAGTTTAGGTTTGGTTACACTACATTGTTCTATAGACACACATGTCAATAGTGTTGAGGAGCTGAAACAGATGTATCCAGAACAATTGACAATATTGGCTGCTTCCCTGGTGAGATTAAACTTCGATCGATCCAGACACTCAACCTTCTGGGGACGCACCCAGAAAGACACCGATAGCTCTGCGGGACAAAATAAAAGCAGAATTAGACAAAATGGTTGAGCTAGATGTCATCAAGCCTATTGTAGAACCAACAAGCTTAGCTGTAGCGGTCAAGAAAGGTGGCAGCCTGAGACTCTGTCTAGATCCAAAGAAACTGAATTCTGCACTGAAAGACCCTACTATCACATTCCAACTGTTGAAGAAATCACGCGTCACTTCTCTGGAGCCAAGGTATTCTCAAAGATGCCAAAACGGGATACTGGAGTGTGCAACTTGAGGAATCGTCACCATTTGGTCGCTACTGCTTTAAACGGTTACTATTTGGCCTGTCAGTCTCCATGAAAATGGACCAGATCTTAGAGCAAGTAGATAGAAAGATTGGTATCGCAGATGATGTTGCAGTGTATGCAAAAACCATGGAAGAACATCATAAACTTATGGCAGTTGCCCAGAAGAATGGTTTAGTTTTCATCTCCAGTAAGTGCATCGTCAAACAAAGAACTATCTCATTCTTTGGTGCCACATACTCGGACACTGGCATTCACCCGGACACCAAGAAAATCCAAGATCTACAACAAATGCCTACCCCACAGAATAAGGAAAAACTTCACGAATTCTTGGTTTCATAACCTACACGTCAACATTCATAGAGAATCTTTCAGCTTTCTATAGTTTTAAGGGATCTGCTGAAGGAGGACGCCCCGTTCCAGTTGGAAGCTCATCATGATCTATGTTTTCAACAACTGAAAGAAGCAGTAACTCATGATTCAACATTGCAGTACTTCGATACTCAGATTACACCAAGTCTTCAAGTTGATGCAAGCCTGAAAGGACAGGGAGCTGCCCTGCTTCAACATTGGAAACCGCTAGCATTTGCATCTTAGTCTCTCTCTGATGCAGAACGGCAACTTTTAACTATTGTCTTTGGTGTCCAGCGCTTCCACACGTACATTGCAGACCACGGGCCTCTCGTCCTGGAGAAACCAATACGATGTGCACCGCCACGTTTACAACGAATGATGCTTAAACTTCAAGGTTACAATTTTACAATTGAACACTGTCCAGGGGAAGGCATGCTATTGGCCGATGCACTGTCAAGACTGCCAAACCAACACAACCAAGATTTGATTTAGTCGAATTCCAATCGGATTACCTCCGAATCAAGAATGCAACACTAAAAGATCCAGTCTTAAACCAACTCGACGATTATATCATATCAGGATGGCCCGATTCCACCAAACAGGTCCCTACTTCAATACGAAACTACTGGTCGTTTAGTGACTGTAAGATATAGTCAACACTCAACAATATTTCGTTCTTTATATTTTTATTATTTCGTTTTATGTTTGTAAATATTCTGTAAAATGAACACAATCAGTACATAAAGAGTTATCTGTCCCAACAAGTTTTCTATTCATTACATGGCGCCCAAACGCGAAGCAAGAAATTCACTTTTTTGAACATTTAAAACACTCAAAATACATCAAAAACCATGCCAGAAGCTAAAGAAAAGTTTGATCGAACCAAAGCAACACGCAGGGGCCGCAGAGCAGTGTTAACTAGGTATATAAATGAGGCAAGTAGACTGATGAAATTCGACATTACGTCACACGATGAAACAAGTACGACCATGGCCGAAGATGTAAACAATAAGATTCAGCTACTAAATACGACAATAGAAGAAAAACTCTCAACAATTACTGCATTAGATGACGGAATTCTTAACATGTGTGCAGTAGACGACATCGAAAAGGAAATAGAAGAGGCCGACGATATCAAAACAAGAGCCCTCATGGCGATTCAAGACATTCAAACCTATGACGTCAAATGTAAACAATCCAACAATCACACAATCAAGCCCATCTATCCATTCAACACCCCCTTCTACACCTCCACCACAACAAATCGACAATGCAGATAGAAATTCGACAGAAGGCAGTGCAATTAACAATTTACATGAAACACAAATGCAAGTAGTTCAGGATGAAATATATGGAACCTGGGCCTACAACAGACAGAAAACACTGCTTCCGCTAATCCATCAACACATGGAACTATAAAACCCAAATTACCCAAAATAACACTTCAACAGTTTGATGGTGAAATTACCAAATTCAGAGCATTTTGGGAAAGTTTTGACAGCGCAGTAAATAAGAATACAGCTATATCACCAATTGATAAGTTCAATTATTTGCAAGGTTTATTAGAAGGAGATGCCAGTCGTGCCATACGAGGTTTAGCCTTAACAGAAGCCAATTACGAGTCAGCATTAGAGATCTTACAGGAGAGATTTGGTAACCCACATCACATCATATCATCACACATGGATAGTCTCATGAAATTACCAAATTGTGCAACTGATGGTAAAACTTCACAGTTAAGATATATTTATGACCAAGTGAGTGTAAACATTAGAGGTCTAGAATCACTAGGCATTAAACCTGAACAGTATGGTAGCTTTCTTATACCAGTTATCATGTCCAAAAGTCAAACTTCAAATTGCCAGAGTTACCAACAAACAAGTCTGGGAAATAGGTGAATTATTGAATGCCATAAAATCTGAAGTACATGCTCGAGAACTTATAGACACAGTGAAATCTACACACAGAACCACAGGCGAAGACAAATATTACTCACACAGCAACACAAAGAAAATATCATCTGCATCAGCTTTATTCGTTCGAAATGATGGTCCTTGTCATCGAATATGGATACCAATATGTGTATTCTGCAGCAATCAGCATTTCTCTTCATCATGTGAGAATGTCTCAAATGTCAAACAAAGAAGAAACATTCTTAGCAAAACCAAAAGATGCTTCCTATGTCTCAAGAAGGGACATAATTCCCATGAGTGACAAACTTTGCAGAAATTGTCAAGATAAACATCATGCTTCAGTCTGTGACAAGCAATTCATTTTCCAACGTTCAAGGGATGAATCTCAGCAATCAAATACTCAACCAAAACAAATTCAAGCCAATACAAGTTCAGCAAGTACTTCATCTAACTTAACGAATGTTATGACGTCAACATCTAGAAGTAAATGTAAAGTGCTTCTACAAACAGCTACAGCCTATGTTAATTCACCACTAGACGACAAAACAACTAAAGCACGGTTACTTTTCGACAGCGGCAGCCAACGCTCGTATGTAAGAACAAAAGTCAACTTTAAACTTACCCACAGTAAAATCTGAAACATTAAATTTAAACACATTTGGAAGTGACAATTGTTCAAAGAAAGAGTGTGATGTAGTTGAAATCGCATTAAATCTTAAGAATGGAGACATATTCAAAATTCACGCTTTAAGCTATGATACAATTTGTTTGCCGTTAGAAAATAAGATAAATATCTCACCATTCCCCCATTTACACGGTTTAGATTTGGCTGATTACAGAAATGATGTAGAATCGGAATCGATTGACATTCTCGTTGGTTCTGATTATTAATAGGATTTGATCACGGGTGATGATATTAGAGGAGACAGTGGTCCAGTAGCCATTAGTAGCAAGTTCGGATGGATTCTCTCAGGAAAACTGAACAATCAAGGCCAAGATAGACATTCATTAGCTTCACTAATTATTGACAGTCACAATCATAACAGTTTAACTGATAACACTTCAGAATTAGTGGATACTTTATCAAAATTCTTGGACACAGAGTCGCTCGGAATCAAGATATTACTGATGATTTGGTTGAGACCAATTCATTTACAGACCACATCAATTTTAACAAAGCGCTCCAAAGATACGAGATTTCATTAACATGGAAAGATACCTGTTCGTCTTTGTCACAAGCAACCAACTTAAACAATTCTATTTCAAGATTACACCAACTGAAATCACGACTGAAACAAGATATTTCGCTATTCAACGAGTATGATAAAAATATACAAGATCAGCTCGACACAGGCATCATCGAAGCGGTCAATGATGACATACATCTATCGACAGGCGCACACTTTCTACCACACCACGGTGTCGGGTGACAAGACAAGGAAACAACAAAACTACGTATAGTATATAACGGTTCATCAAAGACGGAGAATGGATTCTCTCTGAACGATTGTCTACAAACTGGTCCTAATCTTAATCCTCACATTTTCAACTTACTCGTCAACTTTCGAAAACAACCAGTTGGAATCACATCTGATATAGAGAAGGCATTTCATCAAATATCGATTGAACCTGAGGATCGGAAAAGAAGCAAGATCCAGACATCATCCAGTATCAATTCTGCAGGCTTGTGTTTGGTCTTACGTCAAGTCTAGCCATCTTAAACAGTACAATACAGAAACATTTAACCAATTACAAAGATGGTGAACACGAAATCACTGAACGTTTATCTCAATCTCTATATTTAGATGATTTCGTGGGAGGATCGAACAACACTCCCGATGGTTTACAACTCTACGAAAAATCCAATTCAATACTCCAAGATGGAGGATTCAACTTAAGAAAATGGCATACAAATGATTGAGCACTACAGAAGAAAATCAACGACCTAGAATCACAATCCAGCCAAACCGAGGTCAAGATTCTTGGATTAATATGGAATACGCAACAAGATGAATTTAGATTTGATTTCCACGACATAATTCAATTTGGTCAAACGTTACCGTTAACCAAACGTTCAGTGTTAAAATTGGCAGCTAAAATTTTCGATCCATTAGGTTGGTTAAGCCCATTCACCATCCAGTTAAAAACTTTGTTCCAGACATTATGTATGACCAAAACAGATTGGGATACAGTACTTGATCATAAACTCCAACAATGGTGG